AAAGTTAACCCTCCAGACCGACTGACCTTGGTGGGTCTGGTTTTCCACCGCCACCACCATAAGTAGGAGGGGAAGGGGGTCCTCCTGCTCCTCCTCCTCCTGCTCCTCCTCCGCCTCCTCCTCCTCCTCCTCCTCCTCCTCCCCTTCCTCCTCCTCCTCCTCCTGTTCCTCCTCCTCCTCATCCTCCTTTGCGTCCTCCTCCTCATCCTCCAACCCCTTCCCCCTCCAACTTATGGTGGTGGTGGAAAACAGGCCCATCCGACGAATCTGGGCTGCCTCAAAAAAACCCGACCGGAATTTGGATGTCGAGGTCCTGGTATTCTGTTGTAGCCCTCCTGGAAGGTCACGAACACGCCCCGGGCATCAACGAGTTCCATCCCGAGCCATCCGTCGACGGTCCCCCAGAGGCCGAGGGCCCCCAGAGGCCGAACAAAAGAGGCCCAGGGCCCCAGAGGCCGAGAGAGTGAGCCGTGAGCCGAGATGGGTGACCACATGTGACCCCCCCAGACTCCTCGCGCTGTGAAAGGGTCACGGCGGGCGGTTTTTGACAATGTTCGGCCTCCGGGGGCCCTTCCAAGGCTTCGGGGCCGTCAAGAAGCGACTCAATGTAAAAAGCCAGGTTTCGGGTTTAGGGTTTAAGGCCCACTAGCCCAAACTTGAAGCTTGCTGGACGCGTCCCACCCACCCATGACCCAAGACATATTGATCTCAAACGACGACGACGACGACGACGACGACGACGACGACGACGACGACGACGACGACGACGACGACGACGACATCGATGACGAAGACGACGATATTGATTTCAAAACGACGACGACGACAACGACAACGACGACGACGACGACGACGACGACTACACAATCGCGCAAAGACTTTGGGGAAGTCGCTGCAAAAACGATGCGGCCCGCGCGCGTGACGACGCGATTTGAAGAACAACGTATATCGACGCGAGTCCCTGTGCGTCGCAGGGACGCCGCCCAGCGGCGGTGAGATTGCACGGAGTGGCCGCGCAAGGGTCGCTGCAACGGCGATGCGGCCCGCGCGCGCGCCGACGCGATTTGAAGACAGCGCGTACGGACGCGAGTCCCTGTGCGTGGCAGGGACGCCGCCCAGCGGCGGTGAGATTGCATGGAGCGGCTGCGCAGGGCGCGCAGGATAGCTCGTTGCCTCGAGGAAAGGGAACCGCATGTGCATCCTCGGGGCTGCGGCGCGGCGCGCGAAGGCCGACGCAAGGGCGATGCGCAGCGTGCGCGCGACGCGATGCCACGAGCTCCCCGCAGCCCCTTGTCGACGCCTTAGCGATGCATGACCCAGCTCGACGCGACGCGCGCGGAATAGTTCGCTGCTTGGCGAGAGCGATCCCCGCGACGCGGCGCGCGAAGGCCAATGCATGGTCGATACGACGCGTGCCCACGCGAAGCGACACAACGGGTGGCACCCTGGAGCGCCCTGTCGATGCCTTGGCGATGCAAAGACCAGCTTGACGCAAGGCGCGCGGGGCGGTTCGTTGCTTCCACGAAAGGGGTTCCCCCGTTTGGCCCTTCCTGTTCGCCCCAGTGCACGCGAAGCGGAGGGAAACGACGCCCCCCGACACGCCACCCCCAGAGTGCCTTCCTGGCCCCTGTGCCCCGCGCGCGCGCGGGCGGGGCTGAGAGGGCGCCAAGGGGGGCGGGCGGGGGCGTTGTCTCCACACCGCGTCGCTGGCGCTGGGCCGAGCCCTCCACCGCGTCGTCGGCGGACTCGTAGCGATGCATTGAGAACCGGCTTGCGCCGTTCTCCACCGCCGGCCATCGCGGCGCCCTCCCGGAGAAGCCTCGACGAGGCGCAGCTGCGCCTTCCTCCGGGAGTTTCTCGGCGAGAGGCTCCCGGGGGAGGGGGCTTCTGGGCGGCCGTGGTCGCCCCGCCGTGCTGGCTCCGTGGCGCTTGAACGCGCCGCGGAGTGACCGCGCGACGGGGAGGCCATAGCCGCTGGGAAACCCAAGAGGCCATGTCCAGCCTCCACGGGGCGGCCCCTGGGGAACGGCATGGGAGCGGCTCTCCACCCGAAAGGGTCGAGGTCGCGCCCGTACCTTTCGCGAAGGACAACAACGACGCCATGCCTGGCGACAGGCGTGCGCCCAGGAGGCGGCGAAACTTCCCAGAACGCCATTCCTGGCCCTCCGAGGACACGGTCTCAGGGCGCGCCTTGGGATTTGCCGATCCTCTCAAACGCCATTCCTGGAGATCCGAGGCCACGAATCTGCGTGACGGTCTCACCCTGGAATTCGCAGATCCGCCTAGAACGCCATTCCTGGCACACCGAGGCCAAGGACCTGCGTGAGGGGTGCGCCCTGCGATTTGCAGAAGCTCCCAGAACACCACTCCTGGCACTCCGAGGGCACGGATCTGCGTGAGCGGTGTGCCAAAATGGGGGGGCGCGGAAGGGGTGGCGTAAGGGCGCTTGAAGGCATTTTAGGATGTAAATCTTTATAGGTTCTTAGTTCTTAGAGTAAGGGGTCCAAACGTCTGGGGGTCGACGCTGTGAACAAATCACGACGCCGGAGGTCTGGGCCTGCCCTCACCCCCACGATTTCTAAGGGGGGTGGGGGCTCATTTCGCTCGGAAGCTCCCGAGCTCCCTCCCTCCTCCTCCTCATCCCCCCCTCCTCCCTCCCTCCCTCCCCCTCCCTGCCCCCCCCGTCCCCGCCCTCCCCCTCCAGCCCCTCCTCCTCCTCCTCCCTGCCCGCCCTTCCCGTTCCCCCCCCCTCCTCCCCGTCAACATCCCGCCCCCTCCTCTCCCGGCCCCCTCTCCCTCTTCACGTCATCAAAATCAGCCCCGGACCTCGTCCAGGGTGTGGTCTGGCCAGGAAGTCGAGGATAATCCAGCCGTGGCGAAAAGAGACCTCCTCCTCCTCCTCCTCCTCCTCCTCCTCCTCTTCCTCCTCCTCCACCTCCTCCTCCGCCCCACTCCCCCTCCTCGGAGCCTCCCCGGCCTGCTTTCCCATTCGCGGTGAAAGGTGCAAGGCTTCCACTCCCCACCCACCCCTCCTCGCCCTCCCCTGCCGCCGCGGCCCCATCACCCGCCCAGTTTCCGGGTCGGACACCGCCCGAAGCAAAACCCCCCACGGCCCGCGCGCCGCCGTCGAGGGCGCCCGCACGGCGGCTCGCGGAGCCATTGCCCCCCCCCCCCGGCGGCTCCGGCACTGGGGCGGGCGGCGCGGCAGAGGGAACCCCTCGGGGGGGCCCCGAACGCGCAGCTCCTCGAGCGAGACGCGGCCCAGTGCCGCGTACACGATGCAGCCGACGACGTTGCGGACCTGGGCGCGAAGGGGGAGGGAGGGAGGGAGGGGAGGGAGGGAGGAGGGGGGAGGGGAGGCGAGGGAAAGAGGGACTGCTCACTGGACCGGTCAAGTGGTCGAGGACCCCTCGGGGCCGAGAGCGCCCCGCTGCGAGAGCCACCACCCCGAGGGGCCTACGGGCCAACGCAGTCGGGGTCGGCGGGCCAGCGCCCCAAGGGAGCGGGGGGACGCCTGCCTGCATGCTCGTCCGTGCAACCCGGCCCCCCGCCGCCCCTCCCTGGCCCGCGCCCAGGCGCGGCGGCACTGCCTTCCCCCCAGGGCCCTGCCCTAGCACTGGGCAAGCCCCGCAGCCCCCCACCCCCACCCGCCAGAGCGATCGGGCGGGCGAGGCGGACTCGGCACGCGCAGGAGCCCGCTGGCAATCCGCGGGTTCCAGCGCAGGGATCGGGGATGGACAGACCTCCCTTTAGTAAAACGTGGTTTAGTGAAAACGACTTCGGGCCCAAACCTGGCGGGCGCAAGCCTGGAAAATAACGACCACGGCGCCCTCACGAAAACCGAAAAGGACAATTCACTAATCGACGTGTCACTGTTGGGGGTTCTGTCCGCCCCCGAATAGTAGGAAAAGGCGCCTCGCCCATCAGCGGGTAGGGCAACCTCCCAGGCGCGGCCCCGCTGCCGGGCTGGGGTCCGGCGCACGGCGCGCTCCGAGGCGGGGGAGGGGGACAGGGACGAAGGGGGGCGACGAGGAGGGGGAGGAGGAAGAGGAGGAGGAAGAGGAGGAGGAAGAGGAGGAGGAGGAGGAGGAGAGGAAGGACAAGGATGCAGCGGAGGAAGAGAAAGCGCGGGGGGGGCAACAAGGGGTTTAGGGGCAGGACTGAGGCGGCAACGGGGGCGACGATCCCAGGCCCATCCCCCCAGCCCCCCACCACCCCAAACAACCGCGCCGGGCTGTTTTGGGGCAGTCGGGCGGGCAGCGCAGGCAAGGCAGGCGGCCTCGGCTCGAGGGGCCCGGGCCCATCCCCCCAGCCCCCCACCGCCGAAAACAACCGCGCCGGGCTGTTTCGGGGCAGTCGGGCGGGCAGGGCAGGCAGGGCAGGAGGCCTCGGCGCGAGGGGCTCTGGCCCATCCCCCCCAGCCCCCCGCCGCAGGCCTTCTGTGCCCGAAACTCCAAGGCCGCTGGGACGCGTCGGCTCGCCCTGCCACGTGCCACGTGGACGCGGATGTCACGAACTGCGAGACTTTCGCGGCCGATGCGTCGCTGCTTGCCGTCTTCCGCAACTTCTGCTCCTCGGAGAGCTTGGCCGCAAGCTCGGACGCGCGCTTCTTCAACTGCTCCGTCTTCGCCCCCGCTGCCGAACATCTCCAGAGTCCGCTGTGGCTGCTCGGCGTCCCAGAGAGATAACGCCATAGAGAGATGGCGTCGGGCTCCAGCTTCGCCTCCCGCATTTCGCTCGGCAGCGCCACAACAACCAGCGGCAAGCGTGCGCCCTTCTCGCGCGGGCTGGTCACTGCGTTGTAGCTGATGACGCTGACCTCCAGCCTCTCCTCTCACGTCTTGCTGAGCAGCACTGGGCCCCGCTGCCGCCCCCCGCCCTTCTCGCATTCGCCGGTCACAGCGATATAGTTGGCGGCGCTGGGCCCAATGCAGCGCCATCGCCCATTGACACTTGCATTTTTCGCACACTCGAACCCCAGCGTTGTAGCTGCTGATGTTGGGTCCCAGCTTTGCCACCTACATCTTGCTGAGCAGCGTCTGAGCCCGCAGCGCCCCTTAGCCTCTTCCGCACGCGCGATTGCCAGGGCTGTAGCTGAGGGCGCCCGTCTTCAACTCCGCCCCCCACATCTCCCCGAGTAACGTCCGAGCCCTAGTCCCAGCAATGTAGTTGACGACAGCAGGCTCCAGTGCGGCCTTCCACGTCTCCCCGAGCGCTGCCGCTGGTCGCCCGTCGAGCCCGCGCTGATGCCAGCGCTGTAGCTGATGAAATCGGGCTATAGTTTTGCCTCCCAAGTCGCGCAGATCAGCGACGAGGCCTGTTGGAACTACCTGCCCTTCCAGCAACTGCTGATCCCGTCGCGGTGATAAAGATGACGCCGGGCTCCAACGTTCGCGCATCTGGCCAAGCAGCGCCGAACTACGCTGCTACGGCTCGCCCTTGTCGCGCGCGCCGATCCCAGCGCTGTAACTGATAATGACGGGCTCCGACTTCACCTACCACGCCTCGCTGAGCAGCAACGGAACCTGCTGCTACGGTTGCCCTTCTGGCACGCACTGGGTCCCAGCGCTGTAACTGATGATGTCGGGCTCCGACTTCACCTACCACGCCTCGCTGAGCAGCAACGAAGCCTGCTGCTACGATTGCCCTTCCAGCACGCACTGGTCCCAGCGCTGTAACTGATGATGTCGGGCTCCGACTTCACCTACCACGCCTCGCTGAGCAGCTACGGAGCCTGCTGCTATGATTGCCCTTCCAGCACGCACTGATCCCAGCGCTGTAACTGATAATGTCGGGCTCCGACTTCACCTACCATGCCTCGCTGAGCAGCAGCGGAGCCTGCTGCTATGATTGCCCTTCCAGCACGCGCTGATCCCAGCGCTGCGATTGGCGATGGCATTGGGCTCCAGCACTGCCTCCCGCATCTCGCTGAGCTGCGCCTGCGCCGGCTCGCGCTGCTCGTTTTTTCTAGCACCCAGTGGCCACGGCGCTAAAGTTCCGATGACGTCTGAATCCCAGCATCGCCTCCCGAATCTGAGCCCGCGTCCACTGACCACCTTTCACTCGCGTGCTGTTCCTCAGCGTCGTGGCTGACTAGCCTGTCGCATCGTCTCTCCGCAGCAGAGCGACGATCGCATGGCTGTAGCTGGCTGCGTTGGGCCGTATCTTCGCCCTCCTCCACATCTCGCTCAGCAGCGCCAGGGCCCGCTGCCACTGCTCGTCCTTCGCGCGCGCTGAACCCAGCGTTGTAGCTGGTGAAATCGGGCTCTAGCTTCGGCTTGCACATCTCGCTGGGCAGCGCCAGAGCCCGCTGCCAGCGCTGAAGCTGGCTAATTAGCCTGTCGCATCTCTTCTGCGCAACAGAGCGACGATGGCAGGGCTGTAGCTGGCTGCGTTGGACTCCAGCTTCGCCTCTAACATCTCGCTCAGCAGCGCAAGCACAAGCTGCCGATCTCAGCGCAATCGCAAGCGCTCGCACTTCTTGCGCGCAGTGATCACAGCGCTGTAGCTGATGACGTCGGGCTCGAGGTTCGCCTCCCACATCTCGCTCAACAATGCCAGCGCAAGCTGCCACTGCTCGCCCTTATCGCACGCGCTGATCCCGGCGTTGTAGCTGACTCGGGCTGACCCGTGGACTGCGTCCACTTGCGGGGTGAAGCGTGCGGGGGCCCCTGAGGGTGTGATTAGAACGCGGGGCTCGACCCTCGCATTCGGCGCGTGCCTCTGCGTGGTGCTGCTTGCTGCGGCTGTTGCACGTGGTTGGTATTGCTTGCTGCTGCTGAGTGTCGTTGTTCTGCTAGTTGCGTGCTGCAAACTGCTGACCGCTACCTGCTGCTGCTGCTTGCTGTTGCTGCGCGCTGACGCGCTTGCCTGCGTCGCGTTTCGCGCCGTTGCCTTCGGGTAATGGCTGGCTTCTTGCGTCGCCCCAGGATGATCTCGAGCAACCTTGTGGCTCTAGTTGGGCCAGGGCTGGAAATTGAGAAGCAGCAGTGGGCCTCTTTTCTCATGATGTTCCATAGTGCCATGGTGGCTTTGGCCGCCCGAGGAGGTCGGAGGGCCGCGCGGGGAGAACATCGCAGGCACTTCGAAGCACGCCCTCAGTGGCCAGCCTGTCCGGAGCACTCTCGGCAAGAACTCCCGGGCCGCCCACTCCGACCAGAGCCTCTTCAAACGAGGCGAGAAAATAAGAGGCGCATGGGCGGCTTGTTTCCTGGGTGGCCAGCGCGGCCCCAGAGCTCTCTGGGAGACCTTCCCTAGGAAGCCTCTTGGAGACGTTGAGGGTGTCTTGCGGCCTCTCGAGGGTCTCTTGGGAACTGATCTGGGCCTTTTGGGGGGCGCCCCTTGGGGGCCAGCTGGCGGTTTCGGGGATCACCCTGGGGCGGAGGGCCCGAACTCGCAGCTCGAATTTCCGCCCGTTCGGCCCTCTCGGGGCCGTCTTGTGGAGAAATTGAGCCGTCTTGGGGACCTCCTGGGCTATCTGGGAGCTCGTCTTGGGCTGTCTTGGAGACCTCTTGGGCTGTCTGGGTGCCACCTTGGGCTGTCTGGGAGCTCTCTGCGAAGCCTTTTCGGTCACATTGACGCGATCTTGGGGGCCCTGGGGCCAGGGGGCGTCGAGACTCCGAAAAGGCGAGCACGTTGAAACCCTTCAAGAACCGCAAAGAAATCGATGATTTGGGCCTCTCGGGGCCCTTCTTGGGGGCCTTTTCGGACCCTCTTGGGCCGTCTTCTGGCGCTGTGGGGCCTTCTTGGGCGTCTAGGGCGCATCGTCGGGGCTAGCCGGCGGTTTCTGGGGTCATTGTGGAGCGGAGGGCGCGAAATTCTACTTCGAGTTCCCCCTCGCTCGGCCCCCCTAGGGCCGTCTTGGGAACATCTCGGGCCGTCTTGGGGCCCTCTTCGGCTGTCTGGGGGCTCTCTCGGATGCCTAGCGGGTAATCTTGGCGCGATCTTGGGGGCACTGTGGCCAGCTTGGAGCGTGGAGCTCCCGAAGAGGCGACGACGCTGAAACCATTCGAAAACCTCCGGTAAATCGATAGTCTTGGCCTCTCGGCTTGCAGGCCTCTCGGAGACCTCTCGGGCCGTCTGCCGGAGCCCGTCTGAAAGCCATATTGGCGACCTCTTGGACCGTCTGGGGGCGTCTCGGGCCATCTCGGGCCGTCTCGGGGCCCTCAGACCCCCGCGCGCGCGACCCTCTGCGATGTAGCATGGACGACGTCGGGCCCCAGCTTCGCCTCCCACATCTCTCTCAGCAGCGCAAGCGCCCGCTGCCACTGCCCGCCCTTTTCGCGCGCGCTGATCCCAGCG